ATACTACTTTGCCTCCTCTCCTACTATCTCTCCAATTTCTCCTACAAACTCCAACTAAATGTATTACAGACTTCCACAGTCTCCTTAATGTCTTCCCATGTTGCTTGTGTGTTACTCAAAGTTCCATATTTATTGCATGTTGGACAACCACTTAGGTCTACTACATCATAAACATTATCTTGCTATGCTTAACCTGAGTTGGTTTGTTTTCAATTATTATAATTATAATACTTTTACGTTTTCTCTACACTATATTACAGATGGATAAACTAAGGTGAATCCCCCTGAACTATGTTCATTTACCTCTGAACAAAATAAGAAACATGAAACAATATCATAGTCTAAGTGCATTGCCATAAATTTATGCTACTTTAGAGACATAAAGAATACAGGGTATGGGATCCTGGGTATTCCTCTAATATACCATTTATTTATCAGTTCCTTCCCCACAATAGTTCAATATAGAGAGGTATCTGGCAATGAAGTAGGTCATATAGCCATTCTAATTATAGCCAATATATCTTTATTAGGCCGGTTTTCCAAATCTTTATTATATACTACATTAACCAAAGTTCTGGTAAATAAATAAATTTTAGTACCTAAAGAAGTATGAAAACAATTCTTTCAGTTTTAACCCCAGTGAAACATCAACTTTCCTGCTTTGCCATCACAGAATCCAAACAACCAACCGCCCAGAAATATCACAACAGTCCACTGTGGAAAATATACTATTTAACACGTTAAACGTGGATTCAGTGATAAGAGATAAGCAATCTGGGTATTGTTAGATACAATTTTACAGTGGTCCAAAGTGTTGCTTATAGGGATTTTAAGGTTCCTAAGATCTGGGAATATCTGGGAATTTTCTGTCTTAGTTAAGGCTTTCTTGCTGTGAAGTAGCTCTTATAAAAGTAGCATTTAATTGGCTGGCTTACAGTTCAGAGATTTAGTCCATTATTGTCATAGTTGAGAGCATGGTAGGATACAGAAAGACATGGCATTAGAAATTAGCTGAGTGTTTTACATCTGGATCATGGTCAGCAGAAAGAGAAAGTGACACTGGGCCTTGTTTGAACATTTGAAACCTCAAAGCCCACCCCCAGTGACACACTTCCTCCAACAAGGCTACACCTCCTTATCCCTGTCCAGTCACACCATTATGAGCTTGTGGGGATCATTTTCATTCAAGACACCACATCCTCTAAGAGAAAAATAATTTTTGATAGTCCGTAGGTATTGAACTATTAGCTCATCCTACGGTGGTATATACAATACCATTGACTGGGTAATTTGCTTACCTATATGTTTACTATTGTTAGTTTTTCCAATTAAGATCTTGTGTAACACAGAAACATTACATTCTTTATATAACCTAGGATGACCTTGAACTTCTGATCCCCCCCCCAACTCTGCTTCCTCAGTGCTTGAATTACTGCCAAATACCACACCACGCCTAGTCTATTCAGTGAGGGGGCACTAAGCCCAGTATTTCACACAAGCTAGGCAAGCACTCTACCAACTGAGTTACATCCTCAGTAAATTATAGAAATTTATTACTATAAATTAAAGTTCTGGAGACATGTAAATCCCAATGTCAGCTGATTTAATGTCTGGTAAAGACTCTACTCAAAGATGGTGTAAGACTTTAAGACAATCCTGAAGCCATTTTTGACAATTCTGAATCCTCTCAGCCTCTGTGCCATAGTTCTTCCCCTCCTCCCCTAGGAACCAAGGACCTAACAGCTACACTCGCGAACTCAGTTCCTGAACAATTACCCATATACGTATGCTTTGGTTCGGTCCCCTGGGCAACGGGGTCAAAATGACCTCTTACCTCATCTGATCTGGCAACAGCTCTCCAGTCAATTATTGGTAATAGCCCTTTCAAATAAGCCAGTCAGAATAGTCAAAGAACAACCCCCCTTGCTTCTGTGGCCCCTTTAAAAGTAGACTGTACCCGCTATTCGAGGTCCCTTGGCTTCCCGAATGCTGGGGGACCCTGTCATGACAGAATTAATAAAATCCTCATGCTTTTGCATCGGCTGTAATGTGTGAGATGGTCTCTGGGGGCGACTCCTTCTCGGTGTTTGGACGCCAGAGTCCAACAATGGCACCTCTTATTGTGTCCTAACATGACAAAATGATAGGGTACCCTCCTTCTATATTTTTTTATTAATACTAATTCCATTCAAGTGAGTTGAGCTTCAAGGGCTGGTGTTTATTTAAGATGTTACCTTTAATATTTGTAGCAATGAATATCAATATTGCAGCATTAAATCTCAACAGGAATTTTCAGAGAACACCAACATTCTCAGCATAGTCTAAATACTGATGATGCTTTACACTAATATACACAGTACTTGGCAGATCTATTTGGCATCTAGAAGTAGCATACCAGACTTACCTGTAGTATTCTGGATTCTGGAAGAGATAGAAATGGCTGGTGATGTTCTATGAGATCCAGAAGAAAGCATACTACCAGCAAGTCAGGCATGTGATTTGAGCGGAATTCGATTTCTAGCATGTGATTCTGACAACTCTGTGATACTAACACTCTCTATGGCACATCGAGTACATGAAGTCTTCAGTAAGTCCTAATAGATAAGTTCCTTTAGAGCCCATGGAGCATGGTCATGACATTTTATCACAGAATTATGCATTATTTCAAAGCAGCTGTCATCCGCTACTGAGACTGAGTGTGTGACAACACTACATTGTGTCACATATGACCAGAAAAGACTGCATGGCTGTTGTTGCACACACCAATTCATAAAAATCAGGTAAGCCTAGCTGCAGACTACCATAAGATCCAAGAGGCATGTGTCAGCTTGGAGGTGAAGACATCAAATGATGCAAGCGAGCCATTATGAATAAGTGATCAAGATCTTTAAGATGTGTCCATACTTCCACTCAGCTTATACTTATGAAGCTAATGAAGAAAGTCTCTATTAGCAACTAATAAAATTAATTACACTGTTATATGGATCAGTCAACCTTATTTTCCCTTGCACAGGTGAACCTGAAAGACAGTGGCAATGGAAAGTCCTCCCATTGGGCAAAGCTCCAGGCACTTACAAGTATATTCCTAGCTGTCTAGTTTGCCCACAGAGAAAAAATATCTACAGTAAGAATATGAATAAATTTGGGAAAGTTTAATTATCTCTTTCTGTTTCAAAGTCTGTTATAGGCAAAACATTGCTTGTAATAATTTTAGACATTTTGCCTTTTATTCTGAACAATGTGGGAAGCTTCTGTTCTGCATACAACAGTGGACCAGCTTGATCTGTATCAAGAACAAGAATGGGGAGGATGTTGCAGGGTTATCCAAATACACCAAAGGAGTCCCTTTGGTGTTTGAATTATAAAAATAGAAGTGGGAGCAGTAAGTGGTAAAATTCTATAAATACTTTGATGGTAAAATTAAAAAAAAATCAAGCTACTGGATTCCATTTTTAGTATCCCAAATTATCAAAGTCCCTTTATATCCTAATTCTAGCTCTTTCTTCCCACAAATTTATATATTCTATCCTCATTAGCATCCATTTGAATAAGCTGTAATGTAATGACCTGAAAGCCACATTAAATGCTGACTTTGAGCTTAAAACATTTTAATATTAAAGTTGGGTTATAAGAATCTAGCCAGTCCGTTTTAAAGAAATTACATTTTTCACCTTCATAGTTCCTTCCTTTCTTAGGAACTTTTCTGTTGCTATGGAAAAAAAAACTCTCTTTTAAAAAAAATGTAAGAAAGGATGAATTTATTGGGGAATAGGTTCCAGCGTATAGTCCCTCAAGTCAGGGACGTTGTCGGGTGGAGCGTTGGAGCAGTTGGAAAGGCTTTTGGTCCCATTGCACCTGCCAGCTCAGGCAATGTTGCTGCTCTCCTTTAGGGCGTTCATTCTCACCTCCATCAACCCAATCAGCATGATCTCTCACGAGCTAACCTGGTCTAAACAATCCCTCACAGGTGTACCCAGAGGATTCTCTCCCAGATGATTCTAGATCATGTCAAGTTGACAAGACAACACTAACCTTCCCATGTGCCACCTGTCCTTTGTCGTCAGCACTAACCTTCACATGTGCCACCTGTCCTGTGTAGTCAACATTGACCTTCCCAGGTGCCATCTGTCCTAGCTAGTCAGCACAACCTTCCCAGATGAAATCGGTCCTGACTAGTCAACAGGAGCCTTTCCAGAGGCCGTCTGTCCTGACTAGTAAACACTAACCTTCCTAGGTGCCATCTTTCCCAGCGGGTTTTATGTAGACTTTAGACAAGTCAGAGTCATCTGAAAGAAAGGAACCTCAATTGAGAGAAAAATGCCTGCATAGGATCCATCTGTAAGGCATTTTCTTAATTACTGATTGATGGAGTGGAGCGTAGCCCATTGTGGCTGGTGCTACCCCGGGACTGGTGGTGCTGGGTTCTCTAAGAAAGCAGGGTCAGCAAGCCATGGGGAGCATGCCAGTAAGCAGTACCCTTCATAACCCCTGCAGCAGCTCCTACTTCCAGGGCCCTTCCCTGGGTGAGTTCCTGATGATAAGCTGTTGAGTGAAATAAACCCTTTCCTTCTAAACTTGCTTTTTGTCATGGTGTTACATCACAGCAATAGTAACCCTATCTGAGACAGCGTCCCTCAAACTGCCTCAATCATTCCATATTAGGGAAGGCAACTTATTAATTAATAGAATTAATATGTAGCAGTCCTGACACCACCCATGTATCATGACTATGCTGTGAAAACTGGTCGTCATGACTGGGTCCATCACTGCGACCCCACAGTGGGTGGAAATGTAGGAGTAACCTTTCCTGACATATTTAAAACAGGCAGCCTCCTCAGTAGTGAAAAACTGCTTTCAGTTCTAGTTAAAGAATAATTTTACTTAATTGTTAGAGAAAGTAAGTTGTTTCACAGTTAACCATGACCAAAAACATATTCAGGTTAAACAAACAAACAAACAAACAAACAGAAATTTTATTTCCAATTTTTCAAGATCTCGGCTAGGTCATAAAGTTTATTACATTTCTGATACCAAAACAACTATAAACAGAGCATGCAAAGGGACTTACATTAAGTTAGAAATGGTATACATGATTTCCCATGGAAAGCCCTTGATGATTGACATCAAAAGGAGGAGAATTAATTTTCTTATTTTAGTCAAAGACATGGACTTATAAAAAGAACAAACTCAATTGTGCTCATACACCAAAGTACAAATATCCAGTGCTCACCGTTAACTAAAAAATGACAAATTTTATAGGTCCTAGAGCATCCACAGTCTAGCTTTCCTGGGCTGTGTGCTTGGGTCATGATTCTCTAGGGTGTTCAAATACTCAAATACAGAGATGTTAATTTTAAATTATCCTTCTCAAATAGATACAAACTGGAAAAAAGATAAAAGTGAAACAATCTTCTAAAATTTTGGAAATTATAGACAACACAGATATTATAGCAGTAAAGTCATTAAGCAAACTTCAAAGCATTGAAATCAAATTTTGTTATCACTTAAAGAGAAAAAAGATGAGAGAAGGAAAGAAATCAGAATATAAACACTATATGAAAGATCTCTAGCTGTGATTATTTATATAATGAAAATTCTCTCATGATTTATTATCTTGAGAAGTCTTATGTACTAAATCATCAAACAAGTTCTCTCAACTTATAAATTAATTATGAGATCAGAATTAAGTTCTGTGGAAAATCTGACCTATGAACAAAACCTAAGACTTCTCACTATTCTCTACTAGAAAAATCTCAATCTCCTGTGTATTTAATACATGGTAAGAAAACTTATAAAAATGTGTTTGACTTTAATTTTTACAGGCATGTAATGATAAGTACTATTCTACTATATATTCATTGAAACTTATTTTGGCTTATGCCAGATATATTTATATGACTTGTTACAATTATGGTGTCTTTCTCTTCCTATCAAATATTATGGCTGACTTAATGGTCTGCTACAATCCTAATAAGCATTTGTTCAAAACATCGTGGAAAATACAGTGCATAAAATACAAGGTGGATTATTAGAACCTGGGTGATGCTTTAGTCAGGAGCTCTTTCTTTCCAAAGTAGAAAGAAGAGGTCAGAAGAGGTTCTGTGACTCATATTGGCTTTGGCTGTTGAGACTTGACATTTATTTACAGTGTATTTATAAAACAAATTGAAAATGTGAGCTCACAGTTCCCAGGGAACCAGAGGAGAAACTTGGACATTTTAAGTCACTCTCAGATGTAATTAATTTTTCTTGACTCTTGGCAGAAATGATGATAACACTAGAAAAATGGGAAGAAAATTGCCAGAAAAAGGGTGAAAACTCAGTGAGAGTTTACACTTTTCAAACGGGATTTTATTCAATAATTGAAGTGTAAATTTATTTCAGATTGTTAAATGTTAGTAGTAAAAGTAAGAGACAAAACATATGTACATTAAATAAATATGTCTTAAACATCACAGAAACAGGACATGTGTATTTCAGGAATCACAATAGACAATTTAAATTTCACATCATGGGGCCTATCTTTGAGCCTTATGATCTAAAACCTTTTATGTTTGTTTTTGTCTTTGCCCTGACCCAGTCCAGATTCTTCTAGAGGCCATTGGGGGATAGTTGTTTTTCACCTAGAAGACTAGACTTTCTTTTCCATGGCAACTTTTATGTTCACTGTCCAAGTGGCTTCCATTGCATCTTGTTACTTTTGATGTTTTTCAGTTTTGAAGAGTTCTATACGTGAAGAAAAAGGTAAGAGGAATCCATCAGGAGGGTGTACTGGCTGCTTGCAAAGACTGTTTATAGGATTCCTGCATGCATATTTCATTTTGAGAAATAATGGGGAGGGGTCAAAGCAAAAAGAACCAAAAAGTAAAATAAAAGGAAATCATGTAAATTATTCAGAGACAAAGTAGACATTTATGAGACAGAAAATAATACTCTAGATTTATAACATGCTTGCAGTTGAAAGTCCCAGTTTTACATGCATTTTTCCCCATCATAACACATCCGTTTTAGGAGAATGTAAGGCAGGAAACTGAGGAAATAGTAAACTTGTAGCCAGCTCAGCTAGCCACAGCTGGAGAGGGACTGAAGCTATCTGTGATCTATAGTTGGGATTCTAGATGCAGTCTTCGTTGACTGTGATATTCAACCTGTAAGGCAGAACAGAAACAGAGTGTCATTCTAAGAGTAAAGAGGCACCTGTGAACATTAAAATGAAGCAAATGCTCCGTTCTCAAGCAACAGCCAAACTACCTCAAGCTCCAGTTACCATGTAAATAGATTCATTTTGGCACAGCATCCTACCGAACTCCAAAGAGAAGCAGACAGAGAGCTCTCTGCTCTCAGATTCGAGGCTTCATTCCTTCCCACTATGGTGCTGTGAGTTGTGAGAGATAGGACGAGTAGCATCAAATAAGCAAACAGAACCCAAAAAGAGCAAGTAGGGAGTGCTGCACTAAAATGGTCAAGAGTTACCCAAATCTGAAACTTCTCTGACTTGCTTGTGCCTGGATTGTAGGTACCAGAGATCTGAAAATTAATGACTAGGTCTGCACAGAACCCTCCTAATCTCATCATCGTATGAGGTCTCTTTTTCCTCCTCGCTTCCTTTTTCTTCCTATTCCTTCTTTTGTTTCTTCCCTTTCCTCTTTCTCTCCTACTTCCTGCCTTTCTTTTCCTTTCTGCCTATTCCTTTTTTTTCCTTTCCATTCTTAAAATCCCTTTCTGTCATTACCTAATTTTATGGGATTATTTCTTCATCTTTAAAGATAAGAAGGAGTGAGATACAATAATACCAATTGTACAGGGTTAAAATTAAATGAGTTACTATCAAGAGCCTGAAACTGTCTCCTCATTGTTACCAATTTTTATAATGTGAGAGAAATATAAAGACAAAACCTACAGTTTTCTGACTTTCTAAGGAGGACACAATCTGATTGGGAAAGGGGAGGATTTCACATTAGAAAGTTAAACAGTTTCTCTACAAATCATGTTCCTTCCCATAAGGGGTTAATATCTCCATCCAGTGCTGCCATGGACTGGTGGATGATGCCATGCTAGGTGTCTTCAGGCAGAATGAGCAAAGGTCCTATGTTGTCTTGGATTTTTTTTTATTTCTTATAAATTATAGTCCCCAGCAGCAGCCGTTAGATTTTTTGATCTTTCTCAAATCACAATAGCAGCGTACCACCCAGGGTAAAACATGCATTAAAATAAAGTTTTCAGCCTGCAAGCCCAGATTTAATTTCTGCTCCCAACACCACCTTTCAGACATTATCTACAAAAGGGGATAACAGCATTTCTCCCTCACAGTGTTTCTATTCTTGGCGGTGGAAAAAAATAAATTTAAATAATTATACCATAGAAAGAATGGAGGATGTAGACTTAGGCCTGAGCCCTGAGAATACAACTAAGGGCTGCATGTCTTGACAAAACTTTGCATTTTATTTCCTTGTTAGTGAATGTGTTTTGATGATAATTACTGAGACACAGAATTGAGAAATATCAAATGAAATAATGTATCTCAAGTGATTTGTAAAATATGTAACACAACAGAAAGGTCACCTGCTATTATAGTCCTATCCTCACATAAAAGGATTACAGGCCTGCAGTGGGAGAATTCAGCCTGTCATCTCTCTCCTGTCTATAAACTGATTTACAGTAGTACATAGTAAAGCAGAAAAGTGGAAGATGAGGATATTAGAATAATTATATTATCTCAAACTAAAACAATGGCTATAAGCCAGATTCATTTTAAAGGAGACTTTCTAGGTCACTTCGACAGTCTGATCTTGTTCGTTCTTGCTCCTGCTCGCCACTCTGGTGACCACTCCAGTGGACAGAGCCAAGTTCACCATGAAGAGAAGTTTGTTCCTATTATACTCTCACTTGTAAAAAATCTGAAAGTAGACAGGAACCATTTTTTTTCTGACAATTGCTTAGATTTTAGAATGCAAATTGATATGAAAACCTTTACTTTGAGGCATTTATCATCCATTCTTTTGGAAATACCACAAGTTTAATACAAAGGTGATTGTTTTTACATTGAATTGCAGATCCGCTGAACCAATTACTTAGTTGATATGATTAACTGAGGAATTTGGAATCACACAGAGAAGTTCCTCGGAGATTAAAACAAATCATTCATCATTTGAACAGACATAAATGGAGTTTTATTTCATTTTTCTTTCTAAAAAGAATAAGCTAAGCAAATGACCTTCACTAGAAGGAATACACATCTCCAAAACTAACCTGCCACTCCAGCTTAAAAAATAAAAATATCACCATGAAGTCAACTGTTTGAGAAGATTAAAATGAAGGAAAATCTCTATTTTTACCTATTTTGTAGACATCAAGCTGCAATATAACTAAAACTGATTTAAATTATTTTATAAAATTGGTATTTCCTAAAACATTAGTGAATCAAGACTACAGAAATCCCACTATCCTTGAGAACCAAGAGACAGATTCCTAATACTAAGTCTGAGACTGAGCTGCTAAACTGTGAGCCAGCATCTTTTAGGGAGGAGTCTCACAACGCCCTCAGTCACTTTTGAGTCCTCTATGGGATAACTTCTGAACATTTTCAACTGGGTTTTCATCCATGTTTCAGTGATGTGCCAACTGTTTGCTTTCCCTTCTTCGGCACATTTTGAAATTTAGCTATGGGCTAAGATCAAGTACCAAATAACACGTGTGAACAGCTGCCACCCTTCTCTCGTTTGTGGTGATTAATTCATAGTTGGTTATTTTTCAGAGCTAGAGCTAAGCCTTAGGTTTCTGTTCTTGGAGAATATTTTTACCTTTTTAAAATATAATGTTTGAGAGTTGCCACACATTGTCTATAAAGTACAGAAAAGCAATCTGAAGGGCATTTCTTTGTTCAAGGAATATTGAGAGTTCACCACACACCCAATAGTTTCTTAGTGTATAAAATTATAACAAGATGGAAATGTTAAAAAAAAATCCTGTAATCATGGTACCCATCTGTGGTGCAGGAGGATAATAATCAAAATTTAAAAGGAAAGCATATGCTACTTTATCTGAAAGAAAGAGGCAGAGTCAGCTAAAAGTTTATCATTTCAGGCAAGATGGTTATAGAAGAGACCACTAAAATAGCTCAAGGCTGGTCTACAGGAGGGAATAGGGAGGATCATCATAATTTTGGGATAAAGTGTATGACTGGAATTCCTCTTGGGACTTTGAGAAGTAGGAATCCAATGGAACTTGAACAAAGAGATGGGTAAAAATAGGATATTCTCGGGGTTTCTTGGACTGACTTAGCATTCAGTAGGTTGCACCTGCCTATTATATTGAGAGCAAGCATCTGGGAACAATGGTAGAAGAAGAAGAGTTAGTTAGCCGATTTAAGAATCCTGGTCATCATTGTGATAGTACGTGCCTGCAATTCCAGCCCTCAGTAGACACAGGCTGGAATTCAAGTCTTGAACCTCTGAGTTCAAGGTCAGTCTGGACAATCTAGTAAGACACTATTTAAGACGGAAAAAGTTCTGAAACAATGGTTGATAATAGCAGATATTTGAATTAACATGAAAGCACTAGTTATGGAAGAGAAAAAGGCATATCCTATAGACTAAAGATAAACCAATAGAATTTGCTGATGCAGTAGGCATGATAGGTGAGAATAAGAAAAATACTCTTCTGTTTCTCTTCTGTATCACTGTTTAAAATGTGGTTCCTAAACATCTCCTATATCAGAATCACAAGAAAAACATGCTTAAGTGGATTATTGGTATAACCAAGAGCCAATAATTTTTTTCTAGTGCACAAATAAGAGTACATTTTCTCTATAGGGCTAGATAGTAAACATCTGTTACAGCCACTCAACTTTGCTCCCTTAGCACCAAAACCTCCATAGACCACATATAAAGGTATCAATGTAGCTATGTCCTAATACAATGCTACATATAAGTATTGAAATTTAAATTTCATATTATTTTTTCCATACCAGAAAATACTATCTTGTCTTTCCTTTTTAAGGACTTAGAAGTAAGAACAAACATTTGTTAACTTCTGAGCTATACAGAAATAGGCATTAGGATATATCACCCACAGGTCATAGTTTCCAATTCTGCTCTCCAAAATAGGTGCCCCACATCTAAATTTCAATGTTCGCATAAGTGATTTCTTTGTGTGCAAGAGTATTCTTGTGATATAGGAATTTATATCCCAATTTAAAACTTAGAGGCAACATCACAAGTCATGACATTGAGGTAGAGTTCACTCTTAGGTCTTTCTGGTTGCAAAGTCAGCTCACTTGCCACAACACATCCCACTACGAAAAGACCGGTTTTGTTAGTAGTTCATGATCTTGTGGAGACATAGACTAAGGAGAAGGTAAAGTAAAAGAAACAGTAAAAGATCACTCTGTCCAGAAAGCTGTTGTTTCTTCTCCGTGCAGTACATTGTGCTGCTCTTTTAATTACCAGTCAGCTGACGAGAAATCCCATCGGTGAAGGCTGACGAGTGAAGTTCTCTACAAAGAACAAGCACTGCAGAAAATAAATTAATCTCTAGGGAAGAAGAGGGGCAAGCTTGTCAGTGCTCACCAACTGCTAATGGAAAATGATAATTCAAAATTTGTCAAACGATGCGTGACTATAAACTATGTAGTTTATATAGAATATGATGAGAAGAGGTTGAAGGCTTAAAGCATAAAAAGGATAAGGATAAACCTAGTTATCCTTGTTTGATCGGTACATGTGTGAACATGCTGAAAGACCACACCGTACCTATGATGACGTAGAGAAGACTTTGTTAGACAAGTAAAAATAGAATTCTTTTTAGCATATAACCCAACAATAATAGAAACCAGATGTTGGTTGTCAGTTTTAAGTTATCTAACCATTTTAAATGATAGGTTTTCTAGTTTGGGGATTAAATACTCTTACTGAGCTTAGATAACTGTTGAACAGCACTGAACCATAGTGTTGGTATTTCATTAAAATTGAGAAACAAAGATATGTTTCATCAGAAGAGGAGTGGATGAGGTGGGGCAGAGGAGAGGTTGGCAGGGAGTGGCCAAGAGGAGAAGAGGAAGAGAAACTGTGGTTGGGATGTAAAATAAATAAATATAAAAATATGTTTAATGATGTTAATATCTGAAGACATAGTATAACAAAGTTGTCAA